CATGGTGGTGGCCAATTCCCAGGTCCCTTGCCATTTGAGGAATGCCCGGGCTGTTCTCAACCACTCATTTACATCGAAATCATCATCATACCTGAGCGCCAGTAGCTGCAAAGAGAAACCAAACAACAATGGATAATCCCTGGTAATAAATCTCACAAAACGGAGTGTGTTTGTGAATTACCATTCGGAATAACCACATGAAGCTTGAAGTATGCCATGCGAAACAAGGCAAACAAACACCCACCCACCCAGTTGGCCAGCCAGCCAGCTGGAAAACACCAACGGTCAAGTTATGGCCTACACCAAAAGTTGCTAGAAGCGATGGGGCTAACAACATTGGCGTTGTGGACGACAACGATTATAATGTTAGGGGGTCGTAGGGCTCAGTTATATCGTGGATAATAGGTTTACCTCATTTGAAGTAGCTATATAATACGTTTGGATAACGTGGATAACATTTATACCACTTTCGGATAACGTGGATTAAATGTATAACACTTTGGGATAACGTGGATAAGATTATAACACTTTGGGATAACATGGATAAGATGTATAACACTCTGGGATAACGTAGATAAGTTGTATAACACTTTGGGATAACGTGGATAAGATGTATAACAAATTTGGATAACGTGGATAAGATGTATAACACTTTGGGATAACGTGGATAAGATGTATAACACTTTGGGATAACGTGGATAAGATGTATAACACTTTGGGATAACGTGGATAAGATGTATAACAAATTTGGATAACGTGGATAAGATGTATAACACTTTGGAATAACATGGATAAGATGTATAACCCTTTGGGATAACGTGGATAAGATGTATAACACTTTGGTATAAGGTAAATAAGATGTATAACACTTTGGCATAACGTGGATAAGATGTATAACACTTTGGGATAACGTGGATAAGATGTATAACACTTTGGGATAACGTGGATAAGATTTATAACACTTTGGAATAACGTGGATAAGATGTATAACACTTTGGGATAACGTGGATAAGATTTATAACACTTTGGGCTAACGTGGATATGATGTATAACACTTTGGGATAACGTGGATAATATGTATAACACTCTGGAATAACGTAGATAAGTTGTATAACACTTTGGGATAACGTGGATAAGATGTATAACACTTTAGGATAACGTGGATAAGATTTATAACACTTTGGGATAACGTGGATAAGATGCATAACACTTTGGGATAACGTGGATAAGATTTATAACACTTTGGGATAACGTGGATAAGATGCATAACACTTTGGGATACCGTGGATAAGATTTATAACACTTTGGGATAACGTAGATAAGTTGTATAACACTTTGGGATAACGTGAATAAGATTCATTACACTTTGGCATAACGTGGATAAGATGTATAACACTTTGGCATAACGTGGATAAGATGTATAACACTTTGGCATAACGTGGATAAGATGTATAACACTTTGGCATAACGTGGATAAGATGTATAACACTTTGGGATGACGTGGATAAGATGTATAACACTTTGGGATAACGTGGATAACATTTATACCACATTCGGATAACGTGGATAAGATGTATACCACTTTTGGATAACGTGGAGAAGATGTATAACACTTTGGGATAACGTGGATAAGGTGTATAACACTTTGGGATAACGTGGATAAGGTGTATAACACTTTGGGATAACGTGGATAGGGTATATACCACGTTCGGATAACGTGGATAAGATGTATACCACTTTTGGATAACGTGGATAAGATTTATAACACTTTGGAATAACGTGGATAAGATGTATAACACTTTGGGATAACGTGGATAAGATGTATAACACTTTGGGATAACGTGGATAAGATGTATAACACTTTGGGATAACGTGGATAAGATGTATAACAAATTTGGATAACGTGGATAAGATGTATAACACTTTGGAATAACATGGATAAGATGTATAACCCTTTGGGATAACGTGGATAAGATGTATAACACTTTGGTATAAGGTAAATAAGATGTATAACACTTTGGCATAACGTGGATAAGATGTATAACACTTTGGGATACCGTGGATAAGATTTATAACACTTTGGGATAACGTAGATAAGTTGTATAACACTTTGGGATAACGTGAATAAGATTCATTACACTTTGGCATAACGTGGATAAGATGTATAACACTTTGGCATAACGTGGATAAGATGTATAACACTTTGGGATAACGTGGATAAGATGTATAACACTTTGGCATAACGTGGATAAGATGTATAACACTTTGGGATGACGTGGATAAGATGTATACCACTTTTGGATAACGTGGATAACATTTATACCACATTCGGATAACGTGGATAAGATGTATACCACTTTTGGATAACGTGGAGAAGATGTATAACACTTTGGGATAACGTGGATAAGGTGTATAACACTTTGGGATAACGTGGATAAGGTGTATAACACTTTGGGATAACGTGGATAGGGTATATACCACGTTCGGATAACGTGGATAAGATGTATACCACTTTTGGATAACGTGGATAAGATTTATAACACTTTGGAATAACGTGGATAAGATGTATAACACTTTGGGATAACGTGGATAAGATGTATAACACTTTGGGATAACGTGGATAAGATGTATAACACTTTGGGATAACGTGGATAAGATGTATAACAAATTTGGATAACGTGGATAAGATGTATAACACTTTGGAATAACATGGATAAGATGTATAACCCTTTGGGATAACGTGGATAAGATGTATAACACTTTGGTATAAGGTAAATAAGATGTATAACACTTTGGCATAACGTGGATAAGATGTATAACACTTTGGGATAACGTGGATAAGATGTATAACACTCTGGGATAACGTGGATATGATGTATAATACTTTGGGATAACGTGGATTAGATGTATAACACTTTGGGATAACGTGGATAAGATGTATAACACTTTGGAATAACGTGGATAAGATTTATAACACTTTGGGATAACGTGGATAAGATTTATAACACTTTGGAATAACGTGGATAAGATGTATAACACTCTGGAATAACGTAGATAAGTTGTATAACACTTTGGGATAACGTGGATAAGATGTATAACACTTTAGGATAACGTGGATAAGATTTATAACACTTTGGGATAACGTGGATAAGATGCATAACACTTTGGGATAACGTGGGTAAGATGTATAACACTTTGGGATACCGTTGATAAGATTTATAACACTTTGGGATAACGTGGATAAGATGCATAACACTTTGGGATACCGTGGATAAGATTTATAACACTTTGGGATAACGTAGATAAGTTGTATAACACTTTGGGATAACGTGAATAAGATTCATTACACTTTGGCATAACGTGGATAAGATGTATAACACTTTGGCATAACGTGGATAAGATGTATAACACTTTGGGATAACGTGGATAAGATGTATAACACTTTGGCATAACGTGGATAAGATGTATAACACTTTGGGATGACGTGGATAAGATGTATAACACTTTGGGATAACGTGGATAAGATGTATAACACTTTGGGATAACGTGGATAAGATGTATAACACTTTGGGATAACGTGGAGAAGATGTATAACACTTTGTGATAACGTGGACAACATGTATACCACTTTTGGATAACGTGGATAACATTTATACCACATTCGGATAACGTGGATAAGATGTATACCACTTTTGGATAACGTGGAGAAGATGTATAACACTTTGGGATAACGTGGATACGGTGTATAACACTTGGGATAACGTGGATAAGGTGTATAACACTTTGGGATAACGTGGATAGGGTATATACCACGTTCGGATAAAGTGGATAAGATGTATACCACTTTTGGATAACGTGGATAAGATTTATAACACTTTGGAATAACGTGGATAAGATGTATAACACTTTGGAATAACGTGGATAAGATGTATAACACTTTGGGATAACGTGGATAAGATGTATAACACTTTGGGATAACGTGGATAAGATTTATAACACTTTGGGCTAACGTGGATAAGATTTATAACACTTTGGAATAACGTGGATAAGATGTATAACACTTTGGGATAACGTGGATAATATGTATAACACTTTGCGATAACGTGGATAAGATTTATAACACTTTGGGGTAACGTGGATATGATGTATAACACTTTGGGATAACGTGGATAATATTTATAACACTTTGGGGTAACATGGATATGATGTATAACACTTTGGGATAACGTGGATAATATTTATACCACATTTGCATAAAGCGGACCACTTTTGGATAACTTGGATAACATTTTGGCTGGTTTCGGATAACGTGGATAACGCTCTGACTCTACTCTTGGATATTATTTACAATAACTGCATACCATCAAAGTCCCAACAGTCCCAAACACCACCCAAAACAAAAGACTTAAGACACAAACTTGGCCATTTTCCAAGCTACCCTCCCGGCCAGGTGTAGCGCAGCAAAGAATGATAAACCATCACATATCGTAAATTTCCACAAGATGTGGTAGCTGCTGCTGCTGCTAACGAGATTCTAACTGCTCCAAAGGGAGACATTAACAACAAATGCAAATAAACATAAAATTCAACAACAACAACCACAACAAACATTCCAAATTCAAATACTCAAAACCTCATCTCATCATAGAACTCATCGCTCGCCCCTTTTGTTGGCAGTGAGTAGATTCAATTCAATTTTCGTTATGATTTTCCAAAAAAAAAAAACACCACACTGGCCAAGCGGAGAAGAAGCTTTAATCCGATGGGGATGCCAGCACAAAAGTTGCCAAACCAAGTATAAAATGTTAGAACTTTTGCCAGATAGCTTGCAGTCTCGATTGGGCGGTCTGGCAGAGAAAATCATTTGGGTTTTTCGTTCAGAGAGAGAATATTTGAATTTTTTGTAACGGAAAAGAAAATATTTAAAAAATTGCAAAAAAATAAAAATTAAAATATTAAAAAAATAGTGAAAAATATATAATTAAAAAAAATATATTTATTTTCATAAAACACCAACCAACTTAGATGGATTTTAATATTTCCATATTTATTTTAAAAGGTAAGTCCCTGTAAAAAAATATAATATTGAGTCCAAGTTTTTTTTTCGTATTCAAATCAAAACCTTAACTCAGGTCAAGGCCATTACTGCTGTTTTCCAAAACCCCAATGGGCCTTAAATAGTAGCCTATGAGTTATGGGTCTCATAAACGGTTAGTGAGCGAGATTTGTTGTGGGTGTGTGTGTGTGACTCTATGTGTGTGTCTGTGTGAGTTCTCATTTCCATTTTGCTACTTTACCACGCTTGACCACCACCGGAGAGCATCATCTCAAGATATTTCCTTTTTTTGGCGGGCTCTTTAACGGTTATGGCCAACTGTTATTGTTTCTTTGGTTCAGTTTCCATTTGGCCACTGCAATTGCAAAGAGAACAGCAATAGCAACAAAAACAACATAACCAAGAACTAACTCAGTTCAGATGATAAATTTTGTTAAAACAAAACCAACTTCGTTCGTTCGTTTTTTTTTTTTTTTTTTTTTTTTCTCAAAGATTCCTATCAGCCACCGGAGACATGTGTACTTGGCCTTAAAAACCAGCGCTGTGGTTCAAAACAGTGGCGCCCAAATGCTATTGGCCACAGACATACACATTTCATGGGGGGGCCTGAGTACTAACAAATATAAAATCCCAGAGAAAATTGGGAAAGTAGAAAGGGAGAGAGAGAGAGCGAGAAACAATGAGAGATAGAGAGAGAAATGAGCCCTAACTTTACTTTCCATTACATCTTCCATTGGCTGAGAATCTGAAAACTATAGAGGATAATGGGAAATGGAAAATCAGTATAAGTCGGTCCCATGGGAATTCTACCGTAAATAGGTCCCTATTCCTAACCAAGAAATAGGTACTCGTTGTCAAAAACAAAAGGCGATTTTCAGACTTTACAATTTTACTCTTTTTATACCCTCCACCATACACACATAGTATGGAGGATATATAAGGTTCGTCATTCCGTTTGTAACTCATCGAAATAATAATTTTGGACCCAAAAAATTATGTATATTCTTGATCTAAGACGATTTAGCCCTGTCTATCCATCCGTCCGTCCATCTGTTGTAATCACGCTAGAGTCAAAACGATTAAAGATAAGAAGCTAAAAATTTGCACAGTACAGTCTTTTATCTGCAGGCAGGTCAAGTTCGAAGATGGGCTATATCGGTCCACGATATCGTATATCCCCCATATAACGGTACCCCCCGATATTCGGTATTTTGGTGAATGTAGCCAAATTTTTCAGTGGCATTTTCTGAAAATCCACACAAGGAGTTCTTTATGTGTATTTTAGAGTATTATCTATGTAGGCCCACGATGCCGTATATCCTCCATATAAGGGTACCTCCATATATTCGGTATTTTGATGATTTCTCCTACGTTTTCCAATGGAATTGTCTGAAAATCCACACAAGAAGTTCTTTTTAAGCACTTTACACCCCCGGGAAGAGAATTGTCTATATAGGTCCACGTCTTCGTATAGCCCCCATATAACAGTACCTTCCGATATTCGATATTTTCATGATTTCAACGGCATTATTCACCGGAATCGTTTCAAATTTGGTACTTGAAGTTCGTAACAGATACTACAGCCTATGACAGAAAATTGTCCGTGCAGGTCCACGTCTTCGTATAGCCCCCATACAATAGAACCTCCCTATTTTCGGTATTTGGATGATTTTAGCGACATTATTTATCGGAATGGTTTCAAATTTGGTACTTGAAGTACGTAACAGATACTACAAACTAAGACAGAAAATTGTCTGAGCAGGTCCACGTCTTCGAGTAGCCCTCATATAACGGTACCCGCTGATATTCGGTATTTTGATGATTTTAGCGATATTATTCACCGGAATTGTTTGAAATTTGTATTTGAAGTTCGTAATAGATACTACAGCCTATGACAGAAAATTGTCTGTGCAGGTCTACGTCTTCGTATAGCCCCAAACAATAGAACCTCCCTATTTTCGGTATTTGGATGATTTTAGCGTCATTATTCGTCCGAATTGTTTCAAATTTGGTACTTGAAGTTCAAAATGGATACTACAAACTAAGACAGAAAATTGTCTGTGCAGGTCTGCATCGTCGTATAGCTCCCATTTAATAGAACCTCCCTATTTTCGGTACTTTGTTGATTTTTGCGACATTATTCACCAGAATTGTTTCACATTTGGTATTTGAAGTTCGCAATGGGCAGTACAGCCTATAAAAAAAATTTTATATGCAGGCTCACGTCTTCGTATAGCCAGAACCAAGCCAGTTTCTAACTAGGTATTCGATTTTTATACCCTCAGCCATATGGCTGATCAAAATAACGGTTTTAGATCCTAGGTCTCTTTGGACCAAATTCGCTTCAAGACATTTGAAGTCTATCTAGCAATGTGAGCCCGTCCGTCTGGTTGGCTGGTGCTCACGATAACTCTCGAAGGGAGTATCCTATTTGCTGCAAACTTGGTATATCGTAATATTATTATCAAACCTAGATCGAGTTCGGAGATGGGCAATATCGGTCGACTCCTTCTGATACCTCCCCCACCAAAGTTCGAAATTCTCAAAAAATATATTTTCTGCACAGAAAAAGAAACGATAATCCGATTTTGCTCCAACTTTGCAAATCCTAATATTTGCATCGATGCTAGGTCCGATGCGAAAATGGACAATATCGGTTCACTCCATTAAGTACCTCCCCCACAAAGGGTCAAAATTTGGAATAACTACAACTCTTATAAAATGTGGTGTAAAAGCCCGATTGTCTTCGAATTACACAAATGGCAATATTTATATTAACCCAAGGTCTGGTGTAAAGAGGGAATATATCGCTCCACTCCTTCTGGTACCTCCCCCAACAAAGTTCGAAATTTTCAAAAAATATATTTTCTGCACAGGAAAAGAAACGATAATCCGATTTTGCTCCAACTTTGCAAATTCTAATATTTGCATCAGTGCTAGGTCAGGTGGGAAAATGAACAATATCAAACCAATCTATCAAGTACCTCCCCCCAAAGGGTCAAAATTTTGAATAACTACAACTCTTATAAAATGTGATGTAAGAGTCCAATTGTCTTCAAATTTCCCGCTTCTCGATATTTTTATTAACCCAAGGTCTGGTGTGAAGATGGAATATATCGGTCCCCACCTTCTGGTACTTCCCCCATAAAGGGTAAAAATTTATGAATATTCTTGAAGCTCATAAAACACGAAATTAACATCCGATTCCATTCAGACCTGGTGCATCTCAATATATTCTTCAATAAAATATATGTTAGAGATCTTGATTATCGGACCATTTTTCTGGGACCTCCCCCACAAAGGGTCAATGTTTTGAATAACCAAAACTATCATAAAAACCAAAATAAGCAACCAATTCTCTTCATATTTCACACATGCCATTATTTCTACTAACACAAGATCTGTTATGAAGATGGAATATATCGGTCCACACCTTCTGGTACCTCCCCCATAAAGGGTAAAAATTTATGAATTTTCTTGAAGCTCATAAAACACAAGTTAAACATACGATTCCATTCCAGACTTGATAAATCTTAGTATTTCCATCAAGACAAGATCCGTTATAAAGATGATAGAGATCGGTCCTTTTCTTCTGGTACCTCCCCAACAATTTTGAATATCCATGAAGCCCATAAATCACGAAATTAACATTCGATTCCATTCAGACCTGGTGGATCTCAATATTTCCATCAACACAAGATCTGTTATAAAGATGGTAGGGATCGGACCACTCCTTCTGGTACCTCCCCCACAACAGGTCAAAATTTTGTAGGGAATGTATGAAAATGGAATAATTCGGTCTGGTGTTTATATCAGTCTTAGGTCAGATACGAATTGGTCAATATTGACCAACTGTTTGAGAACCTCCCCAACGGTTTGAATAATCATAACTCAAGGCTGGGTTACACTCAACTTCTTCAACTCTCCGCATCTCTTCTAAAAATATAAAAATTAGCTTTTGAAGTTTAAAGACACACTCAGGCAGATTTTCCCATTTTGATTTGTTTTTTTTTTTTTTTTTAATCATTTGCCTTTACATTTCAGGTCTCCTCCTTCTGCTGCTGAATCCTTTTTGCTCGGTAAGTTAACTATGAAAAAGTTATAATCGATTATAATCGATGACATCTCTCTCTCTCTCTCTCTTTGTTGTTGCACTCAACAGGCTCAAAGTGGTTACCAATATGGACGAAATGATTTAAATGCTGGTGTACCTGCCACTGTGGCCTCACCGCTTCGACCTTTGACTGGGGGCTTTGGTGCAGCATCCACTGCAGCGGCGGCCTTTCCCACCGCTGCTACGGCATTTGGACCGGGTACGACCATACCATCCGGGCCCTTTGGTGGTTTCGGCACAACAGGGCAAAATCAACGCGGTATTGGTGGCCTAACGCCCACAGCTCAGACAGCATTTGGAGCGGCGGCAACAAATATTCCAAAACGTCCCAACATTGCACAGCGTCCCTCGCCGAGTGGTGGCACCAGTCCCGGTGGTATTTATGGACAAACACAGTTTGGTGGTAGCGCCACTGGAAGAGGCGCTGCAGCCTCTCCCACCGGTGCTTCTGGCCTCGGAGATGATTATGATGGCGATTATTCCGCCATACCCGGTGTTCCCGGTGTTGACTATCCCATCTATAGTCAAGTTCCGCAAACGAATTTCGATTGTGCCCAACAGGCATTGCCAGGCTATTACTCCGACATAGAGGCCCAATGTCAGGTCTTTCACATTTGTGCCCTGAATCGTACCTATTCTTTCCTCTGTCCTAATGGTACCATTTTCAGTCAAGAGGTATTGGTGTGTGTCTGGTGGAACCAGTATGACTGTGCCTCGGCACCCAGCCTATATGCCAATAATGCGTTTATCTATGATTACGGTAACGAGCGGATACCCACAAATGCTGGCTATCAGCCGTCTGGTAATCAACAGCAATTGGCCAGGGGACAAACGGGTATTCTGGCCGGCAATGCAGGACGTCCAACGGCAGCGGGTTCGAGTAATATCTTCAATCCACAACGTTTACAGCCGGGTGTGACAGGTGGAGGTGGTGGTGGCGTGTCGGTCCAACCCTCAGCCATAGGTGCGGTACAAAATACTTTTGGTGGTGGTTCTACAAATGCGGGACGTTTTGGTGCGGCTGGACAAACTGCTGGGGGACAAACATTTCCCGCCACACCCACACCCTTTGGCTCAGTCTTACGTTCCGGCAGTACCACAGGAGGTGGTGGTGGCGGAGGCGGAGGAAGAAACAGCGGCGGTGTTGCCAATCCCAGTGCCGTTGGCGGAGGACCAACAGCTGGCGGTGGCAACTTTAATGCCAATGTTGGAGAAACTGCCTTTGGAAATGCTGCAATTGCTACTCCAACAACTAAAAATAGAGAATATTTGCCACCACCTGCTCGGCGCCAGTAAAGTAGTAGCAGTAGATGTTCAGGCAGACAACTAGATAATGTAGATATTCTCCCTTTCCCATTCTGCGATGTGATCTTAGGCACCTGTACCCGGTTTAAATGTCTATCCGACTTCCTGTAAAAATGAATTTATTAGGTTAGTGAAATATGTTCGTGTGTAAATTGTAGTTAGTTTTAAATGAAATATCATATCATTACCTTGAAGCAATTTTCTCTCTCCAGTAGGCATGCCTGTCTCTCTCCCTCTCTTTGTCTTTGTTTTTCATTCTCTGTGTGCGTTACACTTTCACATCATCAGTTCATGGAATTTTTTTTTCTACTCAATTTTGTATGTACCATATGAGTATTATACATATATTTTATTTTATATATAATCGTATATATATGTAGCAAATAAAATATATACATATATTTTTTGGAAAGCAAACAAAGTTGAGCAAGTTTGATTTGTTTTTTTGGTGTGGTTATTTGTTCTCCCTCTCTCTCTCTCTACGTTCTCGACAGTTGATTGTAAATGTGTGGATACACATTAAGTGCTTTGTAGACGGTCAAAATGTGGGGGAGGTGCCAGAAGGAATGGTCCGATCTCCGACATATTTATAGTATTTCTTGTGTTGATGGAAATATTGAGATGTGCCAAGTCTGAATGGAGTCGGACATCATTTACTCGTTTTATCAGCTTCATGGATATTGAAAATTGTTGACCCTTTGTGGGGGAGGCACCAGAAGAAATGGGCCGATCTCTACCATCTTTATAAAAGATCTTGTATTGATGGAAATATTGAGATATAACAAGTCTTAGTGGAATCGGGTATTATTTCCGCGTTTTATGAGCTCCAAGGATATTCAAAATTTTTGACCCTTTGTGGGGGAGGTACCAGAAGGAGTGGACCTATATATTCCATCTTCGCAGCGAATCTTGTATTAGTAGAAATAATGGGATGTGTGACATATGAAGAGAATTGGATGCTTATTTCGGTTTTTATGATCGTTTTGGATATTGAAAATAGTTGACCCTTTGTGGGGGAGGTACCAGAAGGAGTGGTCCGATCTCTATCATCTTTATAACAAATCTTGTGTTCATAGAAATATTGAAATGTACCAAGTCTGAATGGAATCGGATGTTAATTTCGTGTTTTATGAGCTTCATGGATATTCAAAATTGTTGACCCTTTGTGGGGGAGGTACCAGAAGGAATGGACCAATGAATTCCATCTTCACACCAGACTTTGGGTTAATGAAAATATTGTTATGTATGTAATTTGAAGACAATCGGATACTTACATGGCATTTTATAAGAGTTATAATTTTCCCAAAATGTTGACCGTTTGTAGGGGAGGTACTTGATGGAGTGAACCGATATTGTCCATTTTCGCACCTGACCTAGAACTGACGCAAATATTTGGATTTGCAAAGTTGCAGCAAAATCGGATAGTCGTTTCTCTTTCTGTGCAGAAAATATATTTTCTGAATATTTCGACATTTTGTGCGGGAGGTACCAGAAGGAGTGGACCGATGTATTCCATCTTCACAGCGAATCTTGGGTTAATAAAAATATTGCGATTTGTGTAATTCGAAGGCAGTCGAACACTTACATCACATTTGATAAGAGTGATAATTTTTCCAAAATTTTGAACCTTTGTGGGGGAGGTACCTGATGAAGTGAACCGATATTGTCCATTTTCACACCTGACTTAGCACTGATGCAAATATTCTTATTTGCAAAATTGGAGCAAAATCGGATAATCGTTGCTCTTTCTGTGCAGAAAATATATTTTTTGAAAATTTCGAGATTTTATGGGGGAGGTACCTGAAGGAGTGGACCGATATTACCCATCTCCGAACTCGATCTAGGTTTGATAATAATATTACGATGTACCAAGTTTGGATAAAATCGCATACTCCCTTCCAGAGTTATCGTGCGCACCAGTCAGACAGACGGACGGACATCGCTAGATCGACGTCAAATATCCTGTAACGGATTTGGTCCAAACAGACCTAGGGTATAAAATCGTTAATTCGATGAGGCACGTTTTGGCCGCACCAAATGATATATACCCTCTGAAGCCATATGGCTGACTGAGGGTATAATGTAGCCACATGGCTGAGAGTATAAAGGCGTTAAGAGAAGATCGGCATCAAAAACAAAGAAAAGCTATTTATTTATTTTTTTTTTTTTTCTATTACATCCCTTCCTCATCCGACTCCCATGCCAAATAGCTGGCACTGAGTTCACGATTCAATATCTCCATTTGTAATTTTAAAATATTTGCAACATTTCGGATATGTTCGCTCCTCCTCATATCGGCCGCATAGATGACATCCAAGTTCTCATGCCTTTCAGAGGATTTCTCTTCATTTTTCTCTTCTAAATGTTGTAACTTTTCGTTAAACCCTTGCCGAAAACTCTTGACAGGAGCTGGCTTTTGAAAGTATTTCAAAAATTCGAAATAATTTCCATATTCCATTTTCAAAAATTGCCAATAACTTAGACGATCCTCCGACCCTTGATTATCTCTCTCACGCCGCGCAGCAGCAGCGGCGAAATGATCACATATCAGGGTTATGAACATATTTATCAAAAATATGGCAACGCCAAACATTAGCACCAGATAGAGCATAAAACCCAAGGCATTGCCACCGTGCGACAGATCCTCGGGCCGGGTGTGGGAATTGAAACCAAATGAAAAACTCATTATTGATGTTAGGCTTTTGAGATAACGTGAAAATACCTCTGTTTGGGCGCCATTGACAATTTGTGCGGCAAAGCCCATGGCAAAGAGGAAAATGTTTATGGCAATTAGGGTGGCTATGAGGCTCCCCGCAGCCGAGTATAGGGTTGTGGTGAATAGCCGAAAGACACTGGCAAATTGTAGGATTTTCCAGAGACGTATGGTCGTTAGGGACACCAAAAAGCCCATGCCTATGGTTGCCATGTAATCAAAGAAATTGGCAGTGCGGAAATCAAGGTACTCCAGTTTATGGGCGGATGCCAGGGTGATTAGCAAATGTTTTACCCAAGATTCTCGTGAGATGAGCAGAATAGCTATGGTAAGGTTTAAAAGTATCAACACCAAGTCCACACAATTCCAGGGAGATTTGAGAAATCCTACTACACCTCCTTCTCCCATCCACCACCATTTCGAGAAGAGGCTATTTGAAAACTCCATGAGGTGTAGAATATAAATGACAATCAAGAACCACCCGCCGGCAGACAATTGCTCCAGATTTGTTAACAACACCACTGACTGAACCTCCAGTTGCCAGATGACCCCACCAAAGGGCGTTTGTTCCACCAGCAGGGAAATCAGACTAAACATATTGCCATCCGCATTGTAAAGTGTGAAATCGATGAGCACCGCCACAGTGTAGGGGTCCAACCATGAGTTCTCCTGGAGGTATTTCAAAATTTTGGCATTATTTTTTAAATCTCTGGCCAAAAATGACTCATAACCCGCCTGCTCGGCTGAAAAGCCATACAAAGAACCCTTGTGGATGGAGATTGGCAGCCAATTGATCACACCTTTACGAGTCTCACATAGCCATGGATAATAAGTTCTCCAATATTTTTGCACATAGTAAAGCCTGCGCTTGGAGACCTTCCATTGGGGCAAATAATTTTGCCGGTCAAGCTGCAGCTGCTTCATGCCATGACTTTTGTCCTGCACACGTAATTGTTTGAGCCTTACAACCCCCAGTAGCTTGGCCATTTCATAGTCCATCCAACCATATTCTGGCACAGGCAGGCCTCTATAATCCACACCCTGACACAGTGACCCCGACATGGTCCAATTAATAACCGCATATACATCCTCAATAGTTTTCATCTGCAGCAGCCCCATTGGCCCCAGGCGATTTTCAACAAAAACCGTTCTCATTAATCTGGTATTGAAAAATCCATAGGAATTTCGGGAATAGACAATCATTAGCAGGAGGAGAAAAAAATATCTTCCGAACAGCCACAGATCCTTGGTCAGCAGCAAGTATTCGCAATTGGCAGCTTCATTTTTGTGCTGTTGGGGTAAATAGAATTCCGCCTTGGCAGTTACCAGGCGTAGCTTTAAATATTCCAAGGAATTGTTTGCAGTTTTGTTAGCCTCATTCGGCCACCCTTTGATATCATCCTGTCTTTGAAGAGATTTGTAGAGAGCCACAAACAGCCCCTCTATATGGTCCATTAGCAAATAACGTAAAACCAACACAACAATGATGGTCACCAAAATCTGTGCAAATTTCTTCGATTCATGGCGGAATCCTGAGTAGTAGGTCAAGAAGACCAGGCTGGTGATAATTACAGTCGTGCACAATAGGAAGTTGTATTTTATAGCTTTACTGGGCGGATTTGTCATATCGGCAGATTATTTGGAAATTGGAAAACAAAATTTGAAATTAATTTCAGAGGACAGATATTTGAAAAGGAAAAATGGCAATAACTTCTTAAATATTGACATTTCGGGGTATTTAGCCATATTTCGGGATCAATAGCATGCTTTAAAATGGCCATAACTCCTTAAATATTGACATTTCGGGGATTTTAGCCATAACTTAACTTAAAAAAAATAAAAAAGGAGCCTAGGGCCAAAATCGATCTAAGTCAACCTAAAACGCCTTTGTTCATCTACGAAGAAGCCAGCCAAATATGGACTTTATGTATTTCCAACGTTATGTATTCCCAGCCAAAGTCGAACAATCGACTATGAATAGTCGAGTACTCGACTTTCACCCAAGTCCATAGTCGAGTTTAAGTACTTTGAGTACTAAAAATCGATTATTCGATTAATCGAAAGTCGACTTACATATCCCTATTATAAACAAGTCAAGACGAAAAAACATTGAATTTTCTTTTTCTTTAAAATCAAAAGGACAAAATCTACAAAAATAATCGAGAAGTGAAAAAATTAATTATTTAATTAATTATTAATTTATTTCAATTATAAATTAATTAATTATTACCCCTACTGCACACATACAAACTTAGTTTCTTTGACAAAGGCATGTTTTCTTCTGTGCCTTTGTAAGCCCAGTGTGTAAAAACCGTTAGGCTTAACTGTCATTAACAAACGAAGTCTGCTAGAAAGGAAAAGAGCTGTGAAGAAATGACAAATGTAAATGCTGCAAAGAATAAATGGATGGTGCATTGGAGAAATTTAAATCCCCAGGTCCGTGAAGTCATCAACAAACGAAAGGGCAGGGAAGAAAAGAAACCAACAGGAGCCGTCAATAATGTAGCAAAAAATAACAATGCTTCAGTTGTGAGAAAAACCAACAAAATTAAGACTACCAAAGAGGAGGTACAAAATCGCAAGGCAGAGATAAACAGGAAAAATGGTCTGGAAACCATAATCGGTAAGGGTAACAAAGGCTATGATTTACTCAAGAAAATGGGCTATGAAGATGGTCAAAGTTTGGGTAAGGATAATACGGGAATATTACAACCAATAATGCTCGAAATTAAAACCGATCGCAAGGGTTTGGGTGCAATGAATTCCCAAAAGGTCGTAACAAAAAAGGCAGCAACTAAAATTCAACAAGCTGCAACTTCATCGATTGCTTCCAACAAAGCAACATTTGTAAAGGAACAACAAATAACAACAGCATCACCAAGGGTCGTAACAAATAATCCGACAACTAAAACTTTGGCTGTTACACTAACTGTTCCTTCGAACAAAGCAACGCTTGTAGAGCAAAAACAAATGACAACACCATCAACAATCCCACCTAGGGATGTTCCATATTCTGCAACGAATGGCTGTGACAGTGGCCATACAAAGAAACAAGACACGACATGTGTAAGCCCGCCCGGGACAACCATAAATCTACACAATACCTCAAGTGTGACAAAGAAGAAATCTCCATTGGAAATCCTTATTGAATCCCATAGCTTTAATGATCCGAAATTTTTACAGGTATTCCTATATTAAAACTTAGTCCTTAGGAAAATATGAGTAATTTTTTTTATTAATTTCCTTGCAGACAATTTTCAATGATTATATCTCAAAAATAGAACTGATGCAACTACGCCTGGAGGCATCAGCCTCCAAGAATCCAACAGCAAGTGATGACAATGATTTAATTGTGACCCGAATCCACATTGCCAACGCCGAGGAACGAATAAAACAAAGTCACATTGATTTTCTGCGAGCCGAATTGGTCGGTTGGATAGGTGCCTATCAGAAACAGGAATTGTGCACACCCATATTTCATAATATGCTACCATTTGAAATGTACATCAGTATTACATGTGAAAATATGTATTCCTATGATTGCCTTAGGCAATGTATTGATGACATTAATCATTCCGGAGCAGAAACGAAATTCAACTTGACCCGTCTGCCGTACAACACTACGGTTATATACTGTTTCGATGCCATCTATGAGGGTGTAGTGGCCGATCCTGAACTATTTCTCATTCAAATACAAAAACATAAACCGAAATTAAGAATCGAACATTGGATGACAATTAAACATGAAGTATTCGCTGAACAACGACGTACTTATTTTATGTTTCTCATCGATGAACGTTCAGCATTGGCTCTGCAGTTTCAGTATAACAGCACATGTTGTATTTGTTTGCAAAATCTATTGTTTCGCAATCGTGGAGTTGTTGCCGATGAGTGAATGAATGAATGATGATGGACAAGAGGTAATTGAGATCATATTGATCTGTTTCATGTTTAGTCTTAAATTTTATTTTATATCAAGCGGCTGGATTACGCGACGAACTTTTACTTCAATTCAATTTATATTGGTTTTGATGTAATCGAATTATTTTTATGTTTTTGAATTTATTTTAAATACAAACATTTTGTATTGACACATTATTTTCGGGTTTTTTAATTATTCAAAACAGAAGAAGAAATGCTATCCTGCGGCTACGGGAATACTTTGAGATGGACTATAAGCTACCGAATCTGCTTCTATCCAATACGATAAAATATCTTTGATTCAATAGTTAGCCTTTAAAGAGTTGTTCAAAAGTCGCAAAAATTGCGGACAATTTTCTAAAAAAAAAGACATTTCGAAGGACTTCTATAGACCTTTACGAAAAGACCTCCTAAAGGTATTGTAAAGACGTTCAGATGGTATTCTAAAGACCATTTTGAAGGACCTCCTAGGACTATAGACCGAAAGGACATCTAAAGACCACTGGAAGGTCTTCTAAGGATCCTTAGAAGTCCTTCTAAAAGTCTTTAGCCTCTGAAATGACGTCTAAGAAACTTTAAAAGGTCCTCTAAACCCATTTAGAAGGTCTTCTAAAGGTCCTTAGAAGACCTTATACTTCTAAATACTTTTAGAAGGTCTTCTAAAGACCTTTGGAAGGTCTTCTAAAGACCTTTAGAAGGTCTTCCAAAGACCTTTAGAAGATCTTCTAAAGACCTTTAGAAGGTCTTCTAAAGACCTTTAGAAGGTCTTCCAAAGACCTTCGGAAAGTCTTCTAAAGACCTTTAAAAGGTCTTCTATTTTCCAAAGACTTTAGGAAGGTCTTTTAAGGACCCTTAGAATGTCTTCTAAGGACTCTTAGAATGCCCTCTAAGAATCATTAGAATGTCTTCGGAAGATCTTTCCGATAATTATTTATATTGACACAATCTTTTTTGTTTTATTTTTCTAAAAACAGAAACGGAAATTTTATTATTTACATTTTAGGTCTTTGTAAAAATCAAATGTTGTTGATTTTGAATCTATTGTCGTCGGCCTGACTTGGTTATTCTTTAACATTTGCTTATAGAAGGTTTTAAAATCCGGACTCAAGTAGTCATGTTGGCCTTTTTTGATTTTTGGCTCACATGGTCTGGGCACTGGAATCGTGGGATTAAACGCCATTTGAGTGCTATCATATTGTTCAAATAATTCCATGGCAGTTCTAAAAATACACAGAATTGAATAATTAATTATTTTGTATTTAGATACTGAAAGAGAGAGTAGTGCTTACAATTTGCCAATCTCCGAAGGTAATGAACCCTCGCCCGATGCCGGCACCCCATTTGCTATGTGTGTTGCCATTTTACGTACAATGGGATGATAGTGTCTTTGCAGTGTGGTCAATTCATACAGAGCCGTGCACGAGGCATTACAATATTCCGGATCCTCCAATGTGGGATCATATTTTCCCGAACCTATACTGTCGTCTGTATCCAAGAGTATGTCCAAAACCGATGTCAATTGAAATGTGGTCTTAATTGTACCCAAGGTGGCCAAGGTGCCGTGGTGCAGAAGATTCAAACCCACCATCAGCAAACGTTTGATAAATGCCATCAAACGTTGCTGGCTCATGTTGCGCCGGCGTTTCACCAAAACCTCATCCAATGTTTGTAGGATAATGCGAAAATCATCATGATTTTTGCCCGCATGTACGGCCAACATATTTCGATAGAAATGTTGATAGAAACGTATCGGATCAATGTTCAGTACCTCACCCTGGCCGGAGAGTATAACAAAAATGGTCTTGATGCAGTGCAGCTGTTCTCGATAGCCCAAATCCTCCTGGGTCTCCAGAATATTGTTCAATACCTCAATTAAATCGGAAAAGAAATCCAAATTAATGACATGGGCGAATCTGAAAATCAAAATGGAAATTTGCTAATTATTTGAATTTGAAAAATCCACTCGATGAAACTTACTCGGCCAAACCCTCTAGAATGGCACTCAACACTTTAGAGGTGGGGTCATTCTTCAATACCCTAAAATAAATGGTGAATAACATTTTTACAATTTCCGTCAATTTGGCATGTTTTGTTTGTTTGTTCTCCTCAGCCCGCGTCTCATCCAATTCCTTGTTCAGTTCTGTCAATTTCTTACGCCGTTTGCGTTCCTTTTTCGATAGGCTCAATAGCCGTTGACGATGGGCCTCCAATTTCTTTTGTTTCAATTCATTTTCCTTTTCCGCATCCAAATTGACATTTTTAATCTTGAGCGCCATCAAACAGGTAATACATTCCAGGTGGACCACATTATTTTTGCTTTTAATCAAATGATTGATGCGCCGTATAATAAACAAGGTCATATCCATTTTCTTGTCGTTGGCAAAGACATAACGGAAACAGTTATGCACCGTCTCACGCATACGCGGATAGTTACAGTTCAACATGTAGACCAGGAGCTGGGCAATATTCTTGACATAATTGAAATATGGATGAGCCATCAAAAGATCGGCCATACTTTGCACAGCAACTTCGGCCATTTTCACCGACTGAGGCGTAACACGACCGTGTCCTTTGCGATTAACAGCCGCCGTAAGTTTCTCCAAACGTTGTAGGAATTTCTTGAAATGCTGCAGCAAGGCATTTTCAAATGTTACCCGCTCCAGGGTGGCCTTACGCACCGTTTGCATTTTTGTATCGACTTGGCCGACACGATATTCCGGTAGAATATCTTTGAAAATCTCAGTCAACGATACAATGGCCACTTTACGCACAGTCAGTAGATTGGGAACACCGGCCTTGTTGGTTTCATCCATCAACTCAAACAAGGCATTAAAATTGCGCATTTTGTCTTCCGGTTTCTCCAGAATACCCGAACAAATAATACCAATGCGATATTTTTGTCGTTCAATCTCCTGCTGGCGGGCAATTAGCAGATCAGTGGTGGAGACCATTTTCTTTTCGGCCACTTTTTTAATGGCATTTGTATCCTCTTCATCGTTGACCACATCATCATCACTGTCCTCATACTCTATTTCTGCTGTATCATCATCATCATCCTCATCGCCTTTCTCGCCTTCTTCACCATCTTCTTCCTGTTCTCCCTCAACCTGTTCTTCTGCTGCTGCTTTTTTCGCTTTAGGCTTGGGTTTAAAATCCACCTGGGTTGAGCGTGTGATAATTTCACCTTCCCTGGTCTTGACGGGCAACAAGTCCACAGTTATTTTCTTGCTGGCATCCTCCAATGCAGTATCATGGGCAAATTGCTTTTCCAAACCCACAGCATGTTTAATATCATCATCGTCGGCCTCCTCTCCGACGGCATGTTTACGTTTCCTATTTCTTCCTTTTTTCATATTCAAATACTCCAAATCTTCACCGTCCAACATATCGGCCACATTATCCAATAGCTCATCATCATCCATTTCCTCGTTGTCCACATCGGGCAGGCCCATTGCCGAGCGTTTGTTTTGTTTCTTCCTCTGGAAGACTTCATCTTTTTTGTGAGCCTTCTGTATGAATATGTTTTGGCCCCTTTCCTTGGCCGATTTCTGTTGGGCCAACTTTTGTTGTTGTTGTTTGGTCAATGGAGCTTTACGCTGTTTGAGATGTGCGGCACGTTTGACCGCCGATATTTTTACCTTTTTCTGCAACACAAGGGGAATGAAAAATGATGAGAATTTGATGATTCTAGAATATCATTTCGACTTACCGTTCCCATTGTTTAATACAGGATTATTAAATTTGAATAAATTTATACTAAACTTTACTAAACAAGTAGCGTATCAAGTGAAATGGAAATTGTAAAGAAAAACAAATGAAATGACAGTTCTCGTAGCACATGTGTGCCAATGGCATGCGATGTGTTTACATTCATCAGCAGTTCGACCTATTCTAAAAGTGACTTGATACTGATTAGTAATGTGTTTATACACATAAGATTTTAACCGAAAATCCCATAATGAATACAATTTTTTCTTTTGGTGTACATATACACTCTTTTTGTATGTGTGTGTGTACTGTTTTAAATTAAATAAATACAATAATTTTAAATTATTTCAAATTCGGTTACAAAATAAATGCATATTTCAACGTTAATGGGTAACACATTGTAAAATTTTGGTATAAAACTGTATTTTCCTACCATTTTAGATTCAATCTTGAGGAATAACCCCAGAATTCCATACTTATTTCGCGGGTTTCCCCAATATACGAATTTTGTTAAAAAAGAAAAATTAAGAAAAACAGCTGTTGAAGTTGAGCAACCTTTCTTCTACAACCATGGCATACGTCAGTCTAAAATGGAGAAGATTTTACATGAATAGACAGTTGAAATTAAGTGAATTTGGTAAACATAATGTAAGGCTATATTTATATCATGGTAGAAGAATGCAGGTAGACACATCGACACAGCTGCTGGGACTGTCAAACCAAATTTTGAATGAAAAAGTATTCAAATTTGTTGAAAAATGCATAAAAGTCTCCGATTTGCATCGTGTAAGTAAAAATAAAAAATTTAATTATTTTTGAAAAAAAAAAAATTAAATTGTTGACACATATATCTTTGATGTATCTACCTGTATTCTTCTACCAAGATTTATGTATACCTTTTTTATTCGCACACATATATGTCAGAAGATCAATTCTTATTCTGTAAAGTTCTTATATGAAACCTTTTATATAGGAGTGAAATGTCAAATGAAAAATGTTATGAAAAATATTTTTTATTTCTTAGTTCTGTGGTGGAATTCTCTAACCCATTTTTTGAGGTAGCGACGAAACTCTGTAAAATTACATGGTAGAAGAATATAGGTAGGCGCATCGACTCAGCTGCTAGGGCAATGAACTGTCAAACCAATTTTGGAATTTAAAATGTTGAATGAAAAATTGTTTAAATTTGTAAAAATTGTTGAAAAACACTTATTATAATAACCTCCGAATGACGTCGTATAAAAAACATACAAAAATCTATTTATTCTTGAAGAAACCTTTAACAATTATTGACATATAAATGTTCCCAAGCGTCGATGCATCTACCTGTATTCTTCTACCATGGTAAAATTAGAATGCTTACAGTACGTTTACATATAAATGGGTTTACCCACTGGATTTGGATTAAAATTGTCATATCCATTACTTATACTTCAATGTATTTTCTGTATTTTTTGTAATTTACCTTGTAAAATTTCAATGCATAAAAAACCGTTCCCATCTCTGACTAGATTTATTTGATTTTGACAGTGAGATGTCAAATGTATAAATTTGAAAAAATTGTTAACATATGATTACATGACTTTATCTTAGTTCTACCATGCTTGGATTCAATTTGGTGGAATTATTCCAACATTTCTTTCATGGTTTGTGGGTTTCTCCAATATTAAAGAGTTGATAACAATTTTCATATAAAAACACATACGCATACATTTTTATAAATAATACGCAACCACAAGTAAATTTGAGGCATAATATCCTAAAGCAATATTCAGCAACAATTTGTTCAAATTATCGAGTAAATGAAAACTACTTTTATGACAGCATAAAATTTAAATGTGAACGAGGCGTAATAATACAAATTCTCACAAAATATGATGGCAGTAAAAAGTAGACCTACATATCCCTACATACGGCAAGAAACCCCGTCTCCAGCGCGTCGTCTATTGAAAAGAAAAAAATATTTTTTTAATTTAAAGAAAACTCCAACAAAATGGGTCGCCGCAAGTCGAAAAGAAAGCCTCCGCCAAAAAGAAAAAATATCGAACCATTGGATCAACAATTCAATTGCCCCTTTTGTAACCACGAACTTTCCTGCGAAGTGAAAATGGACAAGACGCGAAATACGGCTAAAATAAGTTGTCGCATATGCTTGGAGGAATATCAGACGTCGATTAATTTCCTCTCGGAACCTTTGGATGTGTACAATGATTGGGTGGATGCATGTGAAAGCGCAAACTAAACGTATCCATAATCCAAACGATTGGACTAATCCGGATATCGGTGGCTCATACATTACTGGTGTATCAACTTGGAATAAGTAGAATTAAATAATACATGTATTTTTAATATTCAACTACCTATATAAATATAATTTTTTTAGTCTATTGTAAAACGAAAAGTGAATGTTGGTATTTAAAAGCAAATAAGATTTAAGGTACTTGAGATCATAAATTCCATGCATGATAAAGAAACTTCTGCATTGCTGTCCGGAAAGAAACATGAGCTCCTCCCATTCTCTGGGAGTTATAATAGGGGTCATGACAGAGGTTTCACATTTGTTATCCAAAGGCATTAGGAGCTAATCTCATGCACTGGGAATAACAATAGGGTTTAGTCCAGAGATTTCACATTTTTTATCCAAAGGCATATTGGGCTAATGTAATTCCCTAAGACTAACAATAGGATGTTCAGTGCAGATGTTTCGCAGTTTGTTTTATAAGGGCATGTTAATTCTACACCGACATCTCCACTATCTTATTTCTTCATTCCTGTGTTCTGTGCTAGCGACATCAAGTTTTGGTAAATTAACTACATCTGGCCCTTAAATCGGACTTGTTTGCTCTTTATCCCAAATACTTAACAGCAGCATTTGGAAATAAATTCTTAACTTACAAAGCAATTGACCAATAGTACATGGCGACTTCAATGGCCGATATATGGTGCCCACAACTTCAAAATTATCTTCGCGATATCACCGTATCTTATTCACTGCTATATATTCGAAAAGTAAAACGAAACTTTGGGTCCTCCTCACGGACCATTTTGAAAATTGTAGCACATATAGGGCAGGGGGAACTTTAAGTTCCAGATATAATTTCTGAAAATCGTGAATACCTAGGTAGTCATACATTTCTTCTGAATCCTACGAAAATCACAGTATGGCTATGGAGGTACCATTACAAGGGGGCTGTACCTGCACAGACAATTTCCTGTCTTAGGCTGTAGTATCCATTACGAACTTCAAATACTAAATTTGAAACAATTCAGGTTAATAATGTCGGTAAAATCTTCATCATAACGAATATCGGGAGGTTCCGTTGTATGGACACAATACGAAGATGTGGACCTGCACAGACAATTTTCCGTCATAGGCTATAGTATCCATTACGAACTTCAAATGCCAAATTTGTAACAATTCCGGTGAATAATGTGGCTTAAATCTCCAAAATATCGAATATTGGGAGGTACCGTTATATGGGGGCTATACAAAGGCGTGAACCTGCTTAGACAATTTTCTGTCTTAGGCTGTAGTATCCATTACGAACTTCAAATACCAAATTTGAAACAATTCCGGTGAATAATGTCGGTAAAGTCATCAAAATGCCGAATATAGGGAGGTGTCATTATATGGGGGCTATACCAAAGCGTGGACCCACATGGCCCATGTTTCATACCAAAAGTCCAGCAGACATAGTATACATTTGAGTAAAATTTTATCAACCTACTTCATTTCGTTCGGAAGCTAGAGTGATTTCCACAGACGGATAGAAGGACGGACATCGCTAAATCGACATAGAATTTTGTGCTGATCAAGAATATATACTTTGTGGGGTCTAAAATGTATATTTCTAGGTGTTACAAACGGAATGACAAACATAATATACCCCCCATGCTATGGTGGAGGGTATAATAAATGTGGTGTTAAATTAAATGTTACCCTTATTGATCTCTCTCGTAACAAACAGAGCGTGATATTGTCTGGATTAAGTCATAGCTGGCTTCTTCGTAGAGGAACAAACGAGTTTTAGGTTGACTTAGTTCGATTTCGGACATAGGCTCCTTTCGAAGTCGCCAGCCGATGACTTAAGCCAGCCAGAAAAGCGTTTTATGTATTCTCACCTTAAGTCTTACATGACTTCAGATGTTTCAGATTACATTCTTCCATGACCTTTATAGCCTATAAAAGGCTTTAAAATAACAAAATATTTCGTCGCTTTCTCGCTTTCATATTAGTTTGTGTGTTCTGTTTAATTGTTTTTCTTTTTAATTTGTCGGTAATGTCAAAAATTGTTAGCATATTCTTTGGTTTTGAAAATGACAAAAATAATTGAATTAGTATGTATGAGCTAATAAAATACAACTCTGATTCCGGTCTTGTGTAAATATCAGTTAAGAAAATCTTTAAGGAAAACATCATTTTTACTTGTTTTCTCTAAAATTTGCCTAGGAATGTTACAAATTTCTCCAGTGCAGGAATGGTTTTCCAGTAAAAAGTTGCAAAAATGTTAAAAGTAATAAACTCTTGAATTCATTTCTCAATTTGTGCTTTGTTCTACCAATCAACTGATGTGAACCCCCATCATTTAATTTGTTTTATTTTTCTCCTTCTTTGAATCACCCTGTATTGTGTGCGAAATATGAAGTTTACAAATACAATAACAACAAAGACCTTCTCGATACAAGGCGATAAGAATAAAGTGACTCAAATCAACAATTACAATAGAACTTTTATTGATTTTTTTTATTGTGTTAATTTGTTTTCATTGCTTGTGTAAAAGTAAACAATTATTCATTTTTATCACCCAACTATTGATACATATCTTGATAAAAATAAGTCCTTGCTGGTTTTAACCGTTGATTAAATAGAAACAACAACAGTTCAGACTTTTTTTTTTGCAAAACAAAGAGATTTTTGCTTGTATTGCTCTCAATGTTCCATGATGGTCAGTAAAAACAAAAACAAATGTCTTAAATTTACTCAGTGTTTATTTAATCGGTTTCTCAACAACAGCAGCAGCAGCGGCAGTCAAATTTGTCTAATAAACTCCAAGATTATGAGTTCAGTTAGCAGATAAAGAAAGACTGACTGGAACATTTTTGTTTTATATACAATTTTTTTTTGTCGCAGCAATGTGTATACAAAAAGACTATGTACATATCAGTCGTCAGTAGCCAGTCAGCCACCCAGCCAGCCAGCCTTCCAAGTACATACGAAAATATATAAACTTGCAACCTTTGATTTGATCTTTAAACTAATTTTTGCGCAATAATCTTAACGCTATATTGTGGTTCTCTTTTCTCGGAACTGGTCGGTCGTGTGTCGCATGTCGTTGTGATCGGTTGGTTTCCTGCCGCCACTGCTCTGCTCCTCTGCCACTGAAGTTCTGAAAAACTTAATCCATCGATCGATTTCCAGCAGGCAGGCTACTGCTCTTCAATGTTTCAGTTTGCGGTGGGTGGTGAATGTGAACGGGTCAAGTAGTGTGCTGAGGCCGTTTCTCGAAGTGGTGCGTAGAATAAGAACAAAAGGCAAAAAAAAAACAAAACATAAACAAAAGATTGTGAAACGACCCAACATAGCAAGAAAATTGAAAAAGAAGACAAAAGAAAAATAAAAACACTAAGCAACAGCGATTGATTGCAACGACGAGGAACTTGCCTTATATCTGCTGCTTGGTGGGACTGGTTTCTAGTTGGGATTACATCAACGGAAATCGAAACGAATATTGCAACATATCCAGCTACTAGAAGCAGAAACGAACGCATAGAAGTTGTGAAGAAAAAAATGGCTGTGTTTTCGAAATTCTCCGACAAAATTGATCAGCTTGGTCTTCCCAAGCCAGTGATAACTCATGCCCTTGTGGGAGCTGCCATTATGGCCTGGTCCCTGAAAATGGCCGTACCCTTGTTGACAAAAAACAAACGAAAAAATGACAAATCCAACAAGAAGATTGTGTTCCAGACCCAGGAAAGCGATGAGGAGGAGAGTAAATTGGCCGAGGCCGAAAAGCTATTGGTGGCCCAAAATCTTAAGAACAAAAAGTCTCAAGAGCCCGGTTTAAATAAAGAATTCTTCAAACAATTGTCGCAAATGATAAAAATCATGATTCCCCAACCTTTCAGCTATGAGACAGGTTTGCTGGGAGTCCACACATTGTGTCTGATATCACGTACCTTCCTTAGTATTTATGTGGCTCAGTTGGAGGGCACGATTGTCAAGTATATTGTGCGCAAGGATGTCAAGAAGTTCTGTTGGCTACTTTTGAAATGGTTCGGAATTGCCGTGCCGGCCACATTTGTCAATTCAATGATTCGTTTTCTGGAAAGCAAATTGGCCTTGGCATTCCGTACGCGTCTGGTGCGCCATGCCTATCGTTTGTATTTCAAGAATCAAAATTATTATCGTGTCTCCAACTTGGATGGACGTATTGAAAATGCCGATCATCGTCTCACAGAGGACATCAATGTGTTTGCCACTTCCATTGCTCACTTGTATGGCAGTGTAACGAAACCCTGCTTTGATCTTATGCTCATCGGTTTGTCCCTGATGCGTTCCACACAAAAGATGGACTCGAACATCTTTTCGGGTCCCCTGCTGTCGGGTTCGGTGATCATGCTGTCGGCCTATATTATGAGAACATTGTCACCTAAATTTGGTCAGTTGGTGGCGGAAGAAGCAAATCGCTATGGTTATTTGAGACACATTCACTCTCGTATCATTACCAATGCCGAGGAAATTGCCTTCTATGGTGGCCACAAAGTGGAGTTGCAGCAACTGCGTCATGCCTACAACCGTTTGGTGAAACAAATGAATAACATTTTTGTGCAAAAACTGTGGTTTGTTATGCTGGAACAGTTCTTCATGAAATATGTGTGGTCGGGCACGGGTATGGTCATGGTGTCTTTGCCGATTTTGACTGGGTCTGCGGGATCAGCAGCAACAGCAGCTGGCACAAATTCCTCAAATCCCGTGGCCAAGGATTCTTTGGTCAGTGAACGTACCCAGTATTTGACAACGGCCCGCAATCTCTTGATTTCAGCTTCCGATGCAATTGAGCGCCTTATGTCTTCCTACAAAGAAATTGTGGCCCTGGCCGGTTACACCAGCCGGGTGGCGGGTATGTTTGAGGTATTTGAACAGACAGCCCAGGGTATTTACAACAAGAACACCGTTGCCAAGAGCAATGAAACCACCAGCATTATTGAATTCCGTAATGGCTTGCCAGTGGCCAAGGGTCGCATTGTATATACCAGCCCCGATAGTACGTCGATATCGCTGCGGGCCGTGCCTGTGGTGACACCAAATTGTGATGTGGTTGTGCCTTGCCTGAATTTGGACATTGAACCGGGCATGCATTTGCTCATCACTGGACCCAATGGTTGTGGAAAATCAAGTTTGTTCCGTATTCTAAGTGGCCTGTGGCCAATCTATGCTGGGGAATTGCACATACCCAAACCGGTGGAGGAGAAGCCGTGTATGTTCTACATACCACAACGGCCCTACATGTCGATTGGCAGTCTTTGTGATCAAATTATCTATCCCGACAGCCGAGAGGACATGATACGCAAGGGTGTGACGGAGAATGAGCTGAGAAGCATTATGAAAATGGTAACACTGGAACACATTGTCGATCGTGATGGCTTCGATGTGGTGCGTGATTGGAAGGATATTCTGTCGGGTGGTGAAAAGCAACGCATGGCCGTGGCAAGGTTATTCTATCACAAACCCAAATATGCCCTACTTGATGAGTGTACCAGCGCCGTGTCCATTGATGTGGAGAGCAATATGTATGAGAGTGCCAAGAATATGGGCATTACCCTACTGACAATAACACATCGACCCACGCTCTGGAAATTCCATACCCATATATTGGAGTTTGATGGTTTGGGTAACTGGTGTTTCCGCAAACTGGAACCGAACGAGACACAAAAGCAGTATAATTAGAAACAGAAACAATGTATGCAAGTTAAGTTTTGATATCAATTTGATGTTGTTGTAATTGTTATTATTATTATTTTTATTTGTATTAAAAATAATGGAATTTTAGTATTTGTAGCCCAAAGCCACCCCCATGCCCCCGTTTATACAATATGTATATTTATTGTTTTAATGTGTATTATATGTGTATATGTATATGTTCTTTTAGTGCAAAATATTTCGTTTCTAATCTTCCAGATTTATATATGGACATCAAACTCCCAACTTTAATCGAAAACTACTTTTTATTGATTGTTTTATTCTTATACAACCAATCAAGATTAGATGTCCAATTGCCGGAGACCACCTTATAAATATGTGTGGATGTATGTATATTAGGGTGCCAATTTTGCACTAGTTCCCTGACGATAATTGAACTTTTACTTTACTATATTATTTTGTTTTGTATGTATGTAAATGTATATTTATGTCGATCGGCATGTTTTTGTGAAAAGTATGCCGACTTATAGTTGGTATAATCTATCTAATCTTATAACTAATCGCATTATTGAACTTGCGGACAAACCACGGGCGATTACGTTAGAGGAAGGAGAAAAAAATCGAAAGAAAGAAATATAAATTTACAAATTGATAAGATTGCTGCTAAAAACTGTAACCAAAGAATATTTGTCGTTTTTTGCTTAACGAAATTTTGCATGGTGATTGCCAAGTGAAATACATTTTTTGTTTGTTATTTTGAACTTTGAATTTATACTTATTATGTTTTTAGGTTTAATATTATTTTTTTATGAAAATTATTATTTTTTATATACATTGTTCGTTAGCAATATATGCGTGTATTCAAATAGAAAGAAACTATTCAATTTAAATAATTTTAAAAAATATATATTTTTTAAATAAATTTATTTTATAAATTCACATAAATTTTTTTTCAATTCTTTTTTGTAAAAAAATTCATTTTTTTTTCAATTTATATAATATTCTTTATTTTTATTGTTGTAAAATGACACAATATTTTCTTTTTTTAAACAAATGAACAAAAATAAAATAAGAAACCCAAAAGTTAATTTTCTTGTGTTTTCAATTTGTTTATTTCCTTTTATAAATATATACAATTGTTTATGGAACGTTTTTCCAAATGTGGCGTAGTTGCTAACACACAGAGAGTCTGTTTTTATTGGAGAGCAATGTCATGGTAAATTTGCGAGGGAAAAAATCATCATTTGACATGGCGACCTCTCAGTGAGAGTGGGAGAGATGAGTTAAGAGTTTTCCTTTTAATTTCTAATAACACATTGTGTTTTTTTCACTCAAATATTCCATTTACTCTAACATTAAGTGCAAAGTTCAATAACATCTTAATGTACATATATGTATTTATATGTAATGTTTATTCATAGATATCAAGTTATGGCCCAATTACCATAAGAAATAAAATAATAAACAAATGCAAAGAAAGGGAGAGAAAATTCCATCTCCCATAAAAAAGAGCGGCAATTAATGTCCCTTAGAATTAATTAGACTTTTGTACCCATTTAAATCACACTACTCTCCAAACACATGAGGGTTTTCTTTCCATTTTTTTTTATAAATTTATAATGTAAATATTTATTATAGCATCTAATAATATAAATAAATTATTCATTGTAAATAATTGTATAAAAAAACATAAACGGAAACACAAATAAAATATATTTTTATAATTGAACATACTTTTTTCAATGTCTTCCTGGTAAAAACAAATGTACATATCAAAGCACATTGCGACTAACTACTAGTTGAGACAATTAAAATGAGTCAGTAACGTCATAATGGTAACGACCTTTGACACAGTCGTTGTTGTTGTTTGTATGATCGCAGCTTTAAACGAGACTAAACAATTTACAATAAAATAAACAAAGTATATTCTCTCCCATACAATGAAAAAAAATATATATAACAAGAAACAAATTTAATTTAATAACAACAACAAAAACTTGCATATCATATCTGTTATTAATACATTTGTGCACTTGGTTGGTGCAGGGGGCAGATTAACAAATACAAAAGGTTATTATTAAAAAAATTGTTGTTGTTGCACACATAAAACTGCTGCTTTGGATTTGGTGGTGGACCGTTTAAAACTGTAATTTCATTTAAATGCGGTATTTTAATCCGTAACACAATGACTTCAAGTTACTTACGTTTGGCGGCGAATGGGAAATCTATTTTAATATGAATGAAAATGGAAATTATGCCAAGTCAAGAAAGGAAGTTTTTCGGCAAATTAGGGATTAAAACAAAATGGTCGTTAAAAGTGAGGACACATCGAACAAGTTTTTATACCCCCAGCCATATGGCCAGAGAGGGTATACAGGATGAGATAAAAAAACTGCAACAAAGTCAAACGCCATAATTTTTACAATTTTTTTTTTTTTTAATTTTTTTGAATGAAAGCAAAAAATGTCGGAAATAGCATCAAATTTTAGAATAGATTTAGATTTTTTCGAATTTTGTCCTTCAAACGGCCAATGAAGCCGTCACACGCTGCCCGAATGTTGCTCTGCGGTATTTTGGCACTTTACCGGTGAAGCGCTTTCTTGAGGTAATCGACACTTTGATATTTTTTAGTGCCAACCTTGGTTTCCAAAATACTCCAGACACAATAGTTCAACGGATTGGTATCCGGAGATTTTGGTGGCCACTGTGCGCTGCAAATGAAGCGAGGAACCTCATTTTGTAATCATTCTTGGGTAGCGCGTCCTGAGTGCGATGCTTCTGAGTCCTGTTGGAAGGTCCAAGTTCTGCGGCCTAAATGTTTGCATGCCCAGGGCTTTAATACACCCTCCAGAATATTTTCGCAATGATATGAGTGGGGAGCAACAATCGGCTGTTATGGCGACCCACACCATCACACCATCAGCATGGCCGGCGCTTGAGTTCTGGTGGTCAATCGAAGGTGCACATTTTCAGCTGACCTCTTTGGCAAGTAAACACGATCATTTTGTTTATTTACAAACTGCTGGACAACGAATGTTTTCTCATCGGAGAAAACCAAATTCGGCAATTTACCCAAGCCAAGCAACTTTTTAGCTCTTTTGAGTCTATTTTCTTTCTGTTGCGGAGTAAGTTTTTGCACTTTTTAGAATTTCAATGGATTTTATTTTGGCTGGCTTAAGTCATCGGCTAGCTTCTTCGGAAATGAACAAAGGAGCCTAAGTCAACCTAAAATTCCTTTGTTCCTTTACGAAGAAGCCAGCCAAATAAGCGCTTTATGTATTCCCACCTAAAGACAACCTTTGATGTTGTACCAAAATATAAAGAAAATAAATTAACAAAAAAATGTTTCACATCCCTAAAAGCATTGTTTTTGTGCCAAAAACTGGGTGGAAACTTCAACTCCAGATGCTACCTTTGTTTGTGTTTATTTGAATTTTACTTCCTGACCCACATTATCTAAATATAAATGCGTGTACGTAAATGTCCGTTTGACGTCACGAATAACAAAATTAAAGCCGGCAAACAAATGGAAGAAAGATGCTATGACTTAATTCTGCGACTGAATAATATCAGGGGATATTTTCGAGATCATTACCCTTTTGTGAAAGCAATTTGCTTTAGAACTTTTGGTGGTCAAAGGCGCGTGCTTTATTCGAACTTATTGAACTTTTGCCTATAATTTGAAAACGAGTTCCAAATGTCAACAACAAACGTTTGAATTTCTAGAAGTTAATCTTTTGGGTTTTTTTATTAAAGAAATATATTGGTGCATTGACACAAACAATAAATAAATTCCCACGTGCTACGGCCCAAATTTTCGGAACCGGATTTACAGAAATACATACATATATAAACAAAGCAATGTATTAAAAATTTTTTTCAATGGCAAACAAAAAAAAATTGCATTTAAAAAAGTCCAGCCAACAAACGGAAATATTATTGTTAAAATTTTCTAATGGCAAATTTGTTGTAGAAAAAATTGACTCATGTTCGACCCTCTGTCGTTATTCAGATGCAGCATCAACATTATTAATAGAAATACTTGTATGGAACCTTTATTTAAATATTACAATTTTTTGTAAAACAAACCTAATTACAATTTTTTATATCCTCAAATATATATTTTTTCTGTAGGACTTTTGGTATTGACAATGGGTCATGTGGGTCCACGTTTTGTTATAGCCCCCATATAATGGTACCTCTCTATTTTCGGTATTTTAGTGATGTTGCTCATTCAAGGAACCTAGAAAAATGCAACTCTGTACTAGAGTCTTATTGTGTCAAAGGTCTATAATGAAATTTGTCTTTATATATTTTAAAAGATACTCAATAAACTTTAATAAACAGTCCGAATAATAACAGACAAACAAGAACCTAAACATTCTCCTATGCACAACTAGACCTGCAATGCCTGCGTATAGTAATTACAATGTACGTCTTTACCCTTTTAATGTTGTGTTTTTTGTTTATATTCTCAACATTGACCTTCAGCAGTTATGAGCTTCGGTTTAAAACTTGATCTATTCTAAGCCACACTTACCCAGCCATGGTGGTTGGGACAATAACAAGATGTAATAAAAATATGTTTTTTTTTTTTTCGGAAAAACGTTTGTAAAGTGGTTTAATTCTTTTTTTTAGTATAATGAGCGTACATGGATTCGTATGTATGTGTGAGTGTATGCACACAAAGCTAATTAACATGTCTATTAACACTTTGTTAATGGAATGGGAAAGATGAAAATAAAAGTTAATGTTTTTTTTTCTTCAACAAAATGAATCACAAAATATAAAAGTGAGAATACATTGAAGTTCTTTTTTCGGACATAAGTAATTAGGGTGAACTCGTTTAAATTATGAACCTAAATTTAAATAAATCGACTTTAAGCACGACTTTAGCTACCTGACTTAAGTTGGTAACACATAAAACGCTTTTTGGGCTGGCTTAAGTCATCAGCTGGCTTCTTTGTAAAAGAATAATATTTACAGGGTGAGATAAAAAATGCAACAAAGACGAGAAGCGCCATAATGTTTACATTTTTATACCCTCCACCATACTATGGAGGGTATATTAAGTTTGTCATTACGTTTGTAACACCTCGAAATAT